AGCCTGGTGAAAGTTGCTGATGATGCCAAAATTTGGGGTGAGTTGGGCACGCTAGTAGGTAAAGACAGATTACAGCAGGACCTGAACAAGTTACAGGGGTGGGCTAATGAAAATAGGATGGGATTCAATACGGACAAGTGCAGGGTGCTGCACTTGGGCAGTAGGAACCAGCAGCACACTTATAAGCTGGGAAACACCCTTCTCGAGAGCACGGTGGCAGAAAGAGATCTTGGAGTTATTATTGACTCCAAGATGGACATGGGCTGACAATCCAAGGTCATGGTCAGTAGGGCTAACCTTACCTTGTCGTGCATCCACAGATGCATCTCAAGCAGGGCCAAGGAGGTGATCCTCCCCCTCTACGTGACACTGGTCAGGCCGCAGCTGGAGTACTGTGTCCAGTTACGGGCACTGTACTTCAGGAGGGATGTGGACAGCATTGAGAGGGTCCAGAGGAGGGCCACCCGCATGATCCGGGGACAGCAGGGCAGACCCTATGAAGAGAGGCTACGGGACCTTAACCTGTTCAGCCTTCGCAAGAGAAGGCTGAGGGGGGACCTGGTGGCCATCTATAAACTCATCAGGGGGAACCAGCAGGGTTTGGGAGAGACCCTGTTCCCCCTAGCGCCCACTGGGGTAACAAGGAATAACAGCCACAAATTGTTAGAGAGTAGGTTTAGACTAGACGCCAGGAGGCACTGCTTCACTGTCAGGGAGGTTAGGATCTGGAACCAACTTCCAAGGGAAGTGGTGATGACTCCTACCCTGGGGGTCTTTAAGAGGAGGCTTGACGTCTACCTGGCTGGGGTCATTTGAGCCTGGTTTTCTCTCCTGCCCAGGGCAGGGGTTTGGACTTGATGATCTACAAGGTCCTTTCCGACCCTACTTCTATGATTCTATGATATAAAAGCAATACTTACAAACTGTCGTCTTAAACAGCTATCCAAGGAATCACTGGAAAAATAGTTGTCAAGCACAATAAGGTCTTTACAACCACACAATAGAGTAGTCAGATTGTACACGACTTGGGGATATACCAATCTGATTGCTAAAGACTGGAGGTTTCTGCTAGCCATAGTTGTCAGTGCAGGTTTAATGTACAAAGACGATAGACCAAGTAGGTTAGAGACAGCAAGAGCTGGATCTCTTACCTGATATGAGGCTTTTGTGAAAATCCAAGCAAGAAGCTGAAAGAGACAATGAAGAGCATAAAAGCTGTCCCAATGAAGAACCAGAAGAGCAACCTGGACACCTTAACAAATCTCTTCCTGCAAAATCCCATGATCAGCTATCCGGCACAAGAGGAGCTGTCCTGGTTCCCTACCACAGGTGAACTGCACAAGGAGCAAGTGTGCAGTTCCACTCTGATATCCTCTGCCCCAATGCTCAGGGACAGCTCAGCACACTGAATACATTACATGCTCAAACAAAACAGGGTTGGGACTTTTTTAAATTCCAAAGTTATTGTGGCATTGTGAAAATTTTGTGGGCTCGCCTGAAAATGTAGGCAGAGAAACACCCTTTGTGCAAACAAGGAGCTGTACACAGATTCCCCTGAAAGAGGGCCATGAAAATTAATGGCAAATAAAAACCTCTTTGATACTCATATATCGATAACCAAAATAGAGATAAACACTACAAAAGTTTATGGGAAGTACTAGGCCAGGGGCCGGGAAACCCTGGCATGTGTACTGAGCATGTCACGCAAGGCATTTTTGCTCAGCATGCCACGGCCAGCCCCAGCTCTGGGTAGTTTCTGCCAGCAACGGAGCCCGGGCTGCTCCCAGCAGGGCTTGCTGCGCTGCCCTGCTGTCCGCTCTGAGGTGCGTGTGCAGTCACCGCCAGCATGGAGCTGATGTCAGAGCTGTGGAGCCTGGCATAGCTGTTTGCAGTCTGCGTGCTGCTTGCTGCTGCTGCCCAGAGTGCAGGCTGGCTACAACCAGCTGCGCTGGGCTCCAGAGCCCAGTCACCAGCTCTGTGCCAGGAGCGGAGGCAAGACCGGGGTTGTGCTGCCTCAAGCCCCTCCTGGTGTGCATGCTCTGGTACAGAGCTGATGCCGGGGCTCCAGAGCCCGGCGCAGCTGCTTGCAGCCTCCTGGCTACAGTCGGCCCCTGGCCCTGGGTAGCTGCTGCCAGCCAGGAGCCCGGGCCACTCCCAGTAGGCAGCTGGGATGCTGAAAGCCCTGCTGGGAGCTCCAGCACCTATTCAGAGCCAGGCTAGCTGCTGACAGCCATAGAGCAGGGGCTTTGGATGGGGGGCAAGGGGCAGCAGGGCTGGGGGCAGGGGCTTTGGGTGGGGTGCAAGGGGCACAAGCAGGGCATCCTGCCATGTACCCCCTGCCCTCATTTTGTTTTTATGGCATGCTGGCACTCCAGCACCTTCCAAGGTAGGCATTGTGGTGTTTTCTGGCACTCTAGCCAAAAAACATTGCCTACCCCTGTACTAGGCTAATTGCAGCTCTGCCCAAGGAGGTTAGCTTTCAGAGCCACTTCTGTGTGAGGGTTCAGATGAGTGCTAGGCGTATCCAAAAATATGCCTATATTTCCATATTGTTCTGATAATAAGTTGACCCCACATATAAGTTGACCCAAAATTTTTAGGTTCAGTTTTAAGGGACAAAAAAACTCAGCTTTTTTCCTAAATATAGGTTGAGAAAAAATAATGCCCTTGAACTGTTACTGCCTTTACAAATACTCACAAGAGAATCAAGTAATCAAGGAAAAGACGCAAAGGGTTAAACACACCAAAAATACTGACGTGAAAAACTGCACTGAACATGCTATTTTTATGGCATGTACAAAAATACTGCAAATGAAAAAATCAAGACTGTAGGGAACCCAATTAGAGGTCAACCCAGTGTATAAGTGGAGTGTGATTTTTATGGTTCTTTTGGAGGAAAGCACAGGTCGACTCATAATCAGAACAATACAGTATTCGTGTTCTTATAATAAAGCTCAGAAGTTCCAATATCGATCAAGGTCCCACCATGCTAAGGGCTGTCTAGACACACAGCAAGACAGTCCCTACCCCAAACAGCTTAATGCTCAGACACGTTTTATTTTTAACCTCGACCCAAGATGATGCATAACAAAATCTAAAGCTAAATCCACTGTACACCCACTGTGAGACATCAGGGATTTGTTTTTAAAGTGGATTTGGTGCTTGTGTAAAGTATCACTTAACAGCCTTGAAAGCTGAAATTTTTTATACCTCTCTCTCTAGAAGAGGCCCAGCCCTAAAGCAGTGGGAAAGTACTCCTTCTTCCTCCCCCCATACACACACTGACCTGACTGGTAGAGCAAGGCTGTCTCTGCTCCCCACTTTATCTGTATAGTATTTGCTGAGGTGAAGCATGTGGGTGGCAGAACTGGTTTTGAAACTGGCCTGACAGCCAGGGTAGTGTCCGAGTATCATCAGACAGAACCATCTCTGTGAAATACTACAATTTTGACATGTCCACAAATTGTGAGAATCAGAAAATAAGAATTTTTCTCCCTGCTCTACGACGTTTGCCTTGTTGGATGTATAGGGAGAGAGGAAAACAGGCACCGAAATGGAAACTGAAAAGGGGCAAGATAGACGATAACACGACACACTGCAAGGTTGAGTCAAAATGGGAAAAATTAATGGCATGCAGAGACAGGCTTTTGTTGGCTTAGAAATGGTATTTAATGGCCTGTTTTTTGGGGAATTGACTTATAGGTATAGATATAAGCATTATAAGGGGTCAAGATGGGCAGCGGGGTTTAACTGAATTTCTAAAGAGCTTGGGAGACACACACACAGCTTCTCATGGCCCCGGAGGTAGACAGGCTGTCTAGCACAGCAAGGCCAATGGATGGACACAGCCTGAGAATGAAGGGGGGCATGCCATAACACAAGATCACAGCCTTCAAGGCAGATGGGGTGTCTAATACAACAAGGGTCTCCAAAGAAGTATGGACCATACTGTCCCATAACACAAGATAAGTGACGCCAGCAACAAGGCCTTAGAGAGCAGGGGGGCCCAAGTCCCGGTTTTGGAGGAACAGACCAAATTAGGAGAAGGCCCAGAAGGCTATGTGGACGTGTGACCACAGAGAGACAACCAACCAGAGATGGTCACGGATGAAGAGTCATCAGAAGTCATCAAGGGGGAAGGAGAATACAAAAGCAGAGACTTGAGATTAACAAAGGGTCCCTCCCTTTACCTTGTCTGTCCCTCCTTGTCATCCTCCTCCTTCTCCTCCCTGTGAGGGGGTCCTCCATCCCCATCCCCATGCCCCAGGAAGGGTCCCTGAGGCCACCATGGAATGAGGGCATACCAGTAGCCCGTCTCATGCACCCCACTGGAGGGGGGCTGTGAGCCTTGGTATGCCACCTCCAGACTAAGGACACCTAAGACAGAGAGCCTCAGAGTGGAGCTTGCATCCTAACCAGATGTACTTTGACTCTGATGACAACCCTAGGATTGGTAGATATAGGATTGTTTGTATTGTTGCTTTTTTGTTCTTACTCTGTATCAGTAAATTCCTCTATTATCGACTGGCAGGTGTTGTGATTGGTCTGAGGGTTGTGCTTGCCAGGAGCAAAAGTATAGGTGGGCTGAGTTAATTTCTCCAGCCTGATGGTCACACCGGGGTTGGGAACATAGAGCAGGGGCTTTGGATGGGGGGCAAGGGGCAGCAGGGCTGGGGGCAGGGGCTTTGGGTGGGGTGCAAGGGGCACAAGCAGGGCATCCTGCCATGTACCCCCTGCCCTCATTTTGTTTTTATGGCATGCTGGCACTCCAGCACCTTCCAAGGTAGGCATTGTGGTGTTTTCTGGCACTCTAGCCAAAAAACATTGCCTACCCCTGTACTAGGCTAATTGCAGCTCTGCCCAAGGAGGTTAGCTTTCAGAGCCACTTCTGTGTGAGGGTTCAGATGAGTGCTAGGCGTATCCAAAAATATGCCTATATTTCCATATTGTTCTGATAATAAGTTGACCCCACATATAAGTTGACCCAAAATTTTTAGGTTCAGTTTTAAGGGACAAAAAAACTCAGCTTTTTTCCTAAATATAGGTTGAGAAAAAATAATGCCCTTGAACTGTTACTGCCTTTACAAATACTCACAAGAGAATCAAGTAATCAAGGAAAAGACGCAAAGGGTTAAACACACCAAAAATACTGACGTGAAAAACTGCACTGAACATGCTATTTTTATGGCATGTACAAAAATACTGCAAATGAAAAAATCAAGACTGTAGGGAACCCAATTAGAGGTCAACCCAGTGTATAAGTGGAGTGTGATTTTTATGGTTCTTTTGGAGGAAAGCACAGGTCGACTCATAATCAGAACAATACAGTATTCGTGTTCTTATAATAAAGCTCAGAAGTTCCAATATCGATCAAGGTCCCACCATGCTAAGGGCTGTCTAGACACACAGCAAGACAGTCCCTACCCCAAACAGCTTAATGCTCAGACACGTTTTATTTTTAACCTCGACCCAAGATGATGCATAACAAAATCTAAAGCTAAATCCACTGTACACCCACTGTGAGACATCAGGGATTTGTTTTTAAAGTGGATTTGGTGCTTGTGTAAAGTATCACTTAACAGCCTTGAAAGCTGAAATTTTTTATACCTCTCTCTCTAGAAGAGGCCCAGCCCTAAAGCAGTGGGAAAGTACTCCTTCTTCCTCCCCCCATACACACACTGACCTGACTGGTAGAGCAAGGCTGTCTCTGCTCCCCACTTTATCTGTATAGTATTTGCTGAGGTGAAGCATGTGGGTGGCAGAACTGGTTTTGAAACTGGCCTGACAGCCAGGGTAGTGTCCGAGTATCATCAGACAGAACCATCTCTGTGAAATACTACAATTTTGACATGTCCACAAATTGTGAGAATCAGAAAATAAGAATTTTTCTCCCTGCTCTACGACGTTTGCCTTGTTGGATGTATAGGGAGAGAGGAAAACAGGCACCGAAATGGAAACTGAAAAGGGGCAAGATAGACGATAACACGACACACTGCAAGGTTGAGTCAAAATGGGAAAAATTAATGGCATGCAGAGACAGGCTTTTGTTGGCTTAGAAATGGTATTTAATGGCCTGTTTTTTGGGGAATTGACTTATAGGTATAGATATAAGCATTATAAGGGGTCAAGATGGGCAGCGGGGTTTAACTGAATTTCTAAAGAGCTTGGGAGACACACACACAGCTTCTCATGGCCCCGGAGGTAGACAGGCTGTCTAGCACAGCAAGGCCAATGGATGGACACAGCCTGAGAATGAAGGGGGGCATGCCATAACACAAGATC